TGTGTTCGGGGGCTGCATTAACCAGCACATCTGCCAGTGCTGAACCCGTGTCTAGCAGTGCTCCTGGTAAACTCGCTCAGTTTCTCCTGGGGCTGTTTGTTCTCCAGCCTCTGGGCGCTGTTGGGAAAGGGTTCTGGGCGGGAGCAGAACTGCTGCGTTGGAAGGAATCGTCTTTACTTGCTTCTCTTTCAATCCCCATCATTAACCTGTTGGGAGATGTGACAAGGTTGCTCAGCCTGGTCAAACGACATCCCCAAAGCCGCTTTCACTGCGGTGTTTGGGAACATCACTGTGCCCCTTCCTGTTTTCACAGTCTCTTGAGCTGATCCCTGGCTGTTGAGGTTGTTCTAAATGAGATGAAACCAAGCAGCTGAAGGCAGAGCAGTGGTGAAACTGCAGCCATCAGAGTGTTGCTGCAATGCAGCCAAAGGCTCAAGCTCAGGAAAAACATGTCAACTTACGGGCTCTATCACTGAAATAATCTTCCCAATGCCTGAAAACTGCACGTGCTTTAAAGCTGGTGATAGTCCCTTGTGGAAGAAGGGAACGTTGGTCATTTGAGCTGGTGACAGAATGCCTGTGCAGCTGGTTTATTAAAACCTGTAACCCTGAATGAGGTGTTTTCAGCTTGGTGCAGGTTTGCCTGTGTCATCAGTAGAGGGGCAGGCTGGCGGGTGCACTGGGACACGTTTCTCTGAGCTGCAGAGAGCCCCTTGGGTGGTGGGGAGTGGAGGTACTCGGTGTGAGTGTGGATGAACACGCTTCCATGGTCAGAGTGACTCTCCTTGTACCTTTCTTGCTGCAGGAGGTTTCTGTTGTTTGTTCAGTATTGCAGACACAGCCCAGAGTAGCACTATTCTGCATGATGCAACTGAAAAGTATTATTATGAAGCCCTAAATGTAAATCCCAGTGGACCAATAATACTGTAACAGTTCCTGTTAGAATCCTGCTTCTCTTGGAGGCAGAGGGGCTTGCTTTTATAAGAGGACTGCTCTTCCTGTCAAGTGCTGGTTTATGGTGCTGATGAGTGGAAGAACTTATTCCTCAACATCTGAACAGGACTTTTGATCCCTTTTCACTGTGCTTGCTTTCTCCATTGCCTTGTGAAGTCAGTTTTACCTGGGGTTAGTGCCCATTTTCACCAGTCTCTCTATGGATTCCTTTGCTAAGGTTGTAATTTGTTTGTTCTGATACACTCCATCACCAGCTCAAGAGAAAAGAGGTAAAACTGTCAGAAAGCCACTTCCATCCTCAGTGAGGAATCCCCTCGTGTGTCCAAGCTCAACCTGCCTCTTCCCTCCCTGCCACAACAGCCCAAGGTGTTGCCTCCATTCAGTTACAAAAATCATGGAAAGGCAAGAGGGAGACAAGCAATTCCCATGTGGTGCTGATGGGTATTTTCCTGTAGTAGTTCCTGCTTCCTAGATTTTGCCCGAGATCAGAACTGTAAGTGCCCAAATGAGCTGTTTTCATGGCTTCTTGAGGCAGTCAGGATTTGAGCCCACAAAAAGGCTCTTTGCTCTGCAGGAAGAGTCCAAATACCATCTGTTGGCTTTCAAGCAGGGGATGTGAAGAGCCTGGAATTGTGTTTTGCAGGAAACTCTGTCAGCCACAGAACAGTAGCGGTTTCCAAGGAGAGGCACCTTCCCTGAGTCCACCCAAGGACAGCGTGAACTCCAGCTCTCCTCCTCAGGTGGGTGATCCCCCTGCCAGGGTTGGTGGGGCCATAGGTCCAGGCTGAGCTCCTGGCTGCACCCTCTAATCACCTGCTGCTGGAGGCTCTTGGGTCAAGAGGTGGTTGGGGTTTAGTCCTGGTTTATGAAGTTAGAGTCTGATTCTGGGTTTCCTCAGCATCTGCTTCTCCTCTGGATGTGGTTCAGTGGCGGCCTATGAGGAGGATCTCACAGTGTCTCAGCTTTAGTTTTCAGGGCTAAGTTTTTTTCACAGCACCTACTCCAACTCCCTCTTGGAGTTTCCTGGGAGAAGGAGCTTGTGTTTTCCTCATTACTAATAATTGACTGGAACGAAGCGGTAATAAGCAGCTCCCAAACACGGTTGAGTTATTAAAAACCTTGACCTTTTGCAACCTAATTGCTGTGACAGACCAGGGGCAGGTTGCTCTGCTTCTTAACTTGTGCAGATGCCAGTGCATGGAGCTGTGAAAAGTGCCTTTTGAGTGTTTTTCCCTGCTGATGAACTGTGAAGGAGCTGCGTGAGTTCGGGTGTCAAGCAGAGTCTGTCCCCACTCTTCTTGCTATCTCTTAGCACAGGCATTTCTTGCTAGCATTGTGAAATGCCAGCTTCCCTGCTCTGCTCCGGGTCAGCCCAGACAAGTTGAGTATTTATTCTCCTCCTGCCAATGGAATGTGTAATGCCTACTTGTCTGGACAGACGTGCTGGGGATTAGTGGCAAAGAATATTGGCAGGTAAAGAAATTAAGTGCTTCCTGGCAGCGAGAGGGAGGCAGTTCTCTATTGAGAACAAGAACTGTGCAACTCGTTTGCCAGGTAGCTAATTCCAAATCCTCTCCTGCTCCGCTGTGGGCATGTTCCCTGTGAATAAAGAGTGATCCCCTTCGTTGGAGTTAGGTTGGGAAGACACGGGGCTGCGGGGAGGCTGGTCTGGTGCTTTTCTTAACCTGATGCTGAAAAAAGAGGTGGAAAAATCCTCTTGCTTCTGGCTGTCCCTGCTTTGAAAGGCACAAAGGCCTGTAGGGGATGCTTCTGGTCTCTTGAGATGACCCCGTTGAGACTTTGGGTGGTTGATTGGTTTGGATCTAGCAGAGGCCAGTGAAAGAGGGGCCACTGCACATGGAATAGAACTGTTTCCAGCAGCGCTCCTGATGTTGCTCATGTCAGGCAGCAAAGCACAGGCAGCATTCACATCCTAGAGCTATGGTACTCCATAGCTGTAGTTTCTGTTTAGGGAAGGGGGTGTCTGCTGCTGACTGGAGTCCCAGCAGGGGATTGGGATTTGGTAGTCTGGAATGTGAAATATTTTGGGAAAGTTCAGCTACGGAATGAAGGCAAAGCGAAGATCTGGTAGTTCTGAAGCAGCAGAGCAGGTATCACAGGCATGTTCCACCTGATAAGCAGAGAGGTGAAGTGAGTGAAGCTGTATTTGCTGCACTGAGAGACAGGAGAGCAGAAGATGGCAGTTCTTGGAGCTGTAGTCAAAGGGATGGCCCCTCCTCTGGGAGATGGACACTGCTGTGCTGGGAAGGCAGCTGGGGATGTTGCAGAGCCGGTTGGACGCGCTGTCCCTGCCCCTTGAGCCCTGTGGCAGCGTGAGCAGCTCCTCTGGGTAATCACTGTGATGGGGGGAAGGAGGCGTGCTGCCGAGCTTGGCCCGAGACCCCGCTGAGCAAAGAGCAGCAATGGGGGAAGGGAGCGGGTCGGTGGTTCCCTGAGGGAGCAGCCGTGTTCCATCCGGTTATTCTTCCCTGGGAGGGTGGTGGGACACTGGCACAGGGTGCCCAGAGGAGCTGTGGCTGCCCCATCCCTGGCAGTGTTCAAGGCCAGGTTGGACACAGGGGCTTGGATCAACCTGCTCTAGTGGAAGGTGTCCCTGCCCGGGGCAGGGGTTGGAGCTGGAGGAGCTTTAAGGGCCCTTCCAACACAAACCATTCCATGATCCAGCTGCACTTCTGTGACAGAACAAACTTTCCATTTGCAAACACATCACGGTCCTGCCTGAGACATAAAGGAAACAATAAAGTAGCCAAAAGAAATAACCAAACTATGGCTTGTTTTCCTCTGGGCACTAGATAATCTCTGCTCAGAGTTCCTGCAGCCCCGTGGTCCAGGCAGGCACCCACCACTGTGCTCATGGCTCTCCAAGGCTGGCCTGAGCCTGGTACCTATAGCTCTGGCTCTGCACTGAGCTCTCTTCCTGCTGCTG